TTGGGGGTTTATTTTTAACAGTATTAACATCAGTAGCTTGACCAAACAAAAAACAGCTAAAAAAAAAAAAAAAAGTTCAATTGTTTCTGTTGAACAAAATTCAGCACAAATCTTTATCAAAATCACCACATTTGAAGCTTTATAAGATCTCAAAATCTGCCCAAAATACTTTTACCTTTTACTCTTTAAGTACATTTTTAAACTACTATACTTTTGGTTGATTTTTTTCATTTGATACTTTTACTTGAGTATTTTTTTTGCTCCAGTATCTGTACTTTTACTTAAGTAACAAAATTAAATACTTACTCTACTCTACCACTGCCTGTAACACAACACACTGACTGCATTTTCACTTTATAGGTCATTTTGGGAATCAGGTTCAGGGACTTTATTAGTACCAGTAGATTTGTTTTGCAATGAAAACAAAGAATGACCTCATACCATCACACACATGCAGACAGACCGGGCACCTGGAACCTTGGGCCTGAGGGGAGGAGCCTGCTGGAGACTCAACGCTCAGGTCATTCCCAGACCAACCTGCTCGTCTACTGACTAATCTGACTCTGTCTCATTTCCAAACCAAGAAAAAGGAGAGAGGAAAAGGTTATGGTTATGTTATTGTCTATATATGTAATTACTTTTCTGTAAATGTTACACAGTATGGTATTAAACTATATCCTGCTTTCTTTACGTAGAGATCTTTCTTAAGCATTCTTAATTGTAAAAGGGCTCACCTCTACACAGATCTGACTTGGAAGTTGTCATGCTTGTTAGACTTGCCATCTCTGGGCAAAAAAGACAAGACAAAGCAAGTAATCCCTGGATTTTGCAATATGAGGCAAATTCTGACTGGCCAAATAAGAGGCTCAAAGATGCAGCTTCATTTCTAAAGGTGGGTAGATTAACTTTTTACAGACATTAACCCCTGAGTTTATATTGATTTATGTAAATAATCACTTTGTGTGTTTTTGCCTTAAAATTAAGTTGATATTATTTATTTGATTATAGCAAAATCGGCATTGGGGGAATGTAGCTGCTATCTCATCTTATATCTTGAACCAAATGGTTTGTTGCATATTTGTGACAGTCGGCGATAAGGGGTTAAAAAATGATATTTTCTGGTATTTTTCTTGAAGCATACTTTTACTGCTAATTCAGTAAGATTTTTAGTGAAGAAACCATAGACCGTACAGTATATGGAAGTAACAGTAGCCTTATTTGAGTAAAGATTTTGGTTATTCTTCCCACTCTGAGTAAGTCAAGAGAAAAAGGATTTGTATTGACAATATGAAATGATATAAACATTTGCTCAGATCCTTGTTGCTCCAGATGTTACCAAAAATCCCTGGAAATACTTGAGCATGTTTTATTATACAATCCATTTTATTCACACCATTTTAGAAACATCCCATTATTCAGTTCCTGTGGAGGTAAGTGTTGAGCAGCTTCTGTTGCCACAGTGACCCTGGCCCTGACAGAGAAAGACTTGGCTTCCAATCTGCACCAACTTTCCTGTTTGACCATCATTCACTGACGCACCACATTCCTATGGGTGAAGTGTATTGCCCAATGACTGAACTTATTATACTTATAAAACCACCAAAGTTGCTGACAAAATCAACATAAATGGAACAGACTTCATCTCAGACCAGCACAAGTCTGTAACTACATGTTGGCAGCAGAAATGCCTTCTGTAGTTTGTGCTCCAGTGTTTCTGGTTCTGGTTCTCTGTGATGAGTTGCCCAGTACATAACATCAGTGCATGGGACGTATTCCAAAGTTGGATATTAGTTCAGTGAAGACACAATACAAGCCAAAAAAGCTTCTATGGGACAAATCATGAAATTCTCCCAAGGTCAGAGCACACCCCAGTGACATGTCAACAGGAGGAGTGGTGCACACAGCCAAACCTCAGACGCAAGAAGTGGTACAAGATGTTCCTCACAAAATACACACAGAAATAAATATGATGTGCAAAAGTGAGCAGGCCTTGTGTATTTTTACTTTTCACTTTAAGTGCAGTTTTAGTGCAGTACAACAAGGAATAAGAATTTGAATTGTATTTTTGCGAAGGAGAAAAGAACATTATAACATTATAATGTAACTTAAAGCTCACAAGAGTCAATTTTACCTAATATAGGACCTTTAAGAAGACATATTGTACTTCTGTCTGCAATATATATAATCCATGACACTGCTGGATCATCATATTATCATTTTAGACATTTTAAACATCATAACAATAATCTAAAATGACAAGAAACAAGTCCACTGACAGGTTGAGCCCAATGGGAGCTTGCCTTATGGTTCATTGTAAACACTGTCACAATCTGCATCTGTTGACCTACTTTAAGGACAGCGACAGATTAAGCAACATAGTAAAATTCAGTACAGAACTGTGGGAGTATACCAGTGGAGGTGAAAGTTGGGGTTGATCAGAAGCCTTCATAAATCACTCTAAATCCAACTTTGAGTGGAAATATGAGAAGGGAAAAGTCAGTTTTGCATAATAAGTCTCTCTTAATGTTTTTTTGCCGTCTTCAGGGTCATTTATAGTCATTATTTAGATCTGCTATATCCAAGGTTTACTCTCTTTTTCAAGGTGCTAAATTGCGTAAAACTGACTCTTGTGAGTTTTAAACCATATTATAATGTTGTTACCTCCTCCAAAAACATACCTGAAGTTGTGTTTCATTCACACATGTAACCTTTTATTATTAGACTGTCTACATCTCCAAAATTTTAAATGCTCTGTTTGAAATTCCAGGGATGAAATCATATAAATGATTCACAGTGAAGCACTTCTGATAAATATTACCACACAATATCACAAGGTGGAACAGAGTGTTTACTATTTGAGAGAAGAAATCAGCCTAAATATGCAGGGTTTGTGTGTTAAACAGGTGTGAAAGAAACAAAACACAGCTCCAGGTATGTTTGTGATGAGGAAACAAGCAAAGCAAAAACCAACAAACATAGACCAGAAAATAGAGTAATATGGGCTCTTGGTTTAGGCTTAATTTAGACCCGATTAAGATCTACTCGGAAAACCAAACCACTGGAATAGGCCAGAGTAACCCTTTTCAATTTAAATGCAGGCTTTTAGTGGTTAGTTAAATGGGAGCTAAAAACATAAAATAAAGTAGCTTATGCAATGGAAAAACTAGGCCAGGGTACTTTATATTGAAAGTATTTCCAGTACCTGCACTCCATTAATGATTCATTCCTCAGCCGTTTATTCCTTTATTCACAAAATAGTTTCAGGTTCAGTTAGTTAAGTATTCATTGTTATTATGAGCAGAGGTGTGGACTTGGGAGTCATGACTTGGACTCAAGTCAGACTTGAGTCACTATTTCTAGGATTTGAGACATGACTCCATAAAATAGTCTGAGAGCTGGGACTCGACTTGGACTTGAAGGTCAATGATTTGGGACTTGACTCGGACTTGAGGCCTGTGACTTGAGAAGACTTAATACTTCTCCTAAGAAATATATGTTTTTAGAAAATACTTTTCTCTTTACAATATAATAATAATATGTTAAATGAGGCACTTAATTTTACAAGAACAAACTGGAACATGTCACTCCCACTTTTCTGTTTGTTACTTTGGATGAAACTGAAGTACTGTGACACAGTATTCTCAAATGTACTACACTAATATACAGTACAATACAGTACAATACAGTAATATACAGTACAACAGAGTAAAACAGAGGGAACTACATAGAACATGTTCCATTAAAACAAACAAACAAACAAACAAACCTGTAATTAAGCACTTATAAATCTGAATTCTTTCTATTCTGACCATAATGATTCAAAATGAGCATTTCTACAACTATATAAATACTCATAAATAAATATACCATGACTATTTAAGTACAATTTAGTTTAAAATTCATATAAATTGCAAAAATCTAAGCTATATTTGGTACTTGAGTTTAAAGACTTGAAGTGACTTGAAGCTCAAAGCAGACAACTTGGGACTTGACTTGGACTTGAGGTCAAAGACTTGAGACTTATTATTATTCAATTCTTTTTATTGACTTTTATAAATGTTTAAACATACATAAACATAGCACAAAAACAACAACAAGACAGCAGGCAATTCCAAATGAAAGAAACAAAAAGTAAATAAATAAATAAATTAATAATAACATTACTGCATGTTATGTCACTATAGTGAACTACATGAAGCAAGTGAGCCACTACTTATCCAGATTCAAAATAAGATTCAAAGTAAAGGAGGAATGGCTGCCAGGTTTTATGGTAGTTTTGAATTGATCCATTTACAGTGTGTCGCAAGTGTTCGAGCTTTAAGTGGGACATGACTTCCTCCATCCAACGTTTAAAAGATGGTGGGGCTGCTTTCTTCCAACTAAACAGTATTAATCGTCTTGCAAGCAGCGTGATGAATGCTACTGCATCTGCCTGGTGAGGGGTCACTGGGATATTCGGAGGCACAACCCCAAATAGAGCTGTTCCACAATTTGCTACGATATCAAAGACTTGAGACTTAATTGAGACTTGCAAAACAATGACTTGGTCCCATGCTGATTATTAAAATTCTGGAAAACCCTGTACTACTCGTGAAGTAAAACTGCAAAGAAGTGTTATAATATTATCTCATTGTAGCTACAGTAAATATTGGACTGGAGGAATATTTTGTACTTGTTTATTTGCAGATGTGAATATGATATGATAGTAAACAGAACTCAGAATACTGTGGGACTGGAGGTGGAGCTGAAATGGCTTTTGCATGAGGCCCGTATCCCACAAGGTTATGTCAAGTGGCGCAGTTCTCAAGTCTTGTTTTGGTCTTTCACTGCTATGACACACTGTAAGGTTTTGACAGTGGCCCCTCCCCTTTGCTCATAACCCCTCCCACTGTCTAATTTACTGCGACGAGATTGGTTGAGCCTACAGAGGGAGGGCCAAAGCGGAGAGAAACAAAAACGTGACTAGGCACCCAAAGCGTCCTGTTATGCAACAACTGACCTACTAACATACATTTGGAGAGTCGGAGAGCGGCGCTGCGCGAGAGGGAGCGCCAGAGAGAAAGGAGGAACTAGAGAAGAGAGAGAGGGAAACTGGAGCGGCTCCGTAACATGACGTGTGGAGTGCGTTGAAAACAAGCTCTAAATACTCATGCGTGTACCTGCGCTAATAGGACATCTTTTCAAAGTCACGTAGGGTGCGTAACTGCAAACAGGACTGTGCGTAAAGATTCTTCATTGGAGTCAAGTCAGAGGAATTGGAGAGGAAAAGGTGAGTTTGTCAATATGTATGTTTTAGGTGTGTTTGTACAAGGTGCAGCCACGCATTACGCATGAAACGTGGCGCAGGATGATCTAGTGTTTGTTTTGGGTCATTTCTCGAAGTTCAAGCGACCCTCTCCGAAATATTTTTTACTAAATGCAAAACATATAATTAAACATGTTAAAGAGAGGTGAGGTGAGGGGGTGATGAATCAAGACAGTGTGGGTTGATATTTCGGATGTGTGCCACTCGCAGCGAAATGAGGTCAACGCTTCTAAGTGCTTTTGCTCTTCTGCACTGTTGAGACTTTTGACTTTGGTGCTCCAGGAGACGTGACCCGCTCTGATTACGCACACATTATACACCACTTGGATTATATTATGCATGTAGAGTAATGCACGTGAATGCCATTTGTTCCTCAATAATACATTAGTCAGGTGTGGGTGCTATTATTAGAGACACTTTTACCATGGTAGCTGTGCTTGTTTGCGTCATTATTTATCTTGCATAGTATTTTAATTCTGTTCTGCTGCTTTGGTTCACGGTGATTTAAAACTGCTTGGCTTAAAAATAGTTAAACCACCTGCTATTTACCAAGCTGTAAGTTTGTTTAAGTATTTTTTTTGTCAGTGGGTCAAGTCAGAAGTTACATATTGTGTTGTTTATTTTTCAACTTTGTATTATTTATTGCGTGTTTCCTTCTTCTTCTTCTTTTTTTTTAAACACTGTTTTTGCCTGCGTGCATGTAATGGCTTCCATTTTCACATTTTCAACTTTCAACATTGCGCACGTGTCAGTCTTATTCAATTCTAGTTAATTGCCTATAATTAGCCTATTATTACACAGGCCTAGATCTTACATGTGCGGGGAGGGAGCGCGCCCTAAGTAGCACTGAGCTCCTTTTGGGGTTAGTAGGCTAGCGGAGGCAGACAACTGGAAAAATCCCATGCAGGCACAGGACACACTTCTGCGCGTCACGTGTAGCGCTCTTTGTAAAGGTTAACGCGGCTGCGCTTGTACTGTGCAGCCTCTCCCTCTCTCTCTCTCTCTCTCTCTCTCTCTCTCTCTCTCTCTCTCTTCTCTCTCTCTCTCTCTCTCTCTCTCTCTCTCTCTCTCTCTCTCTCTCTCTCTCTCTCTCTCTCTCTCTCTCTCTCTCTCTCTCTCTCTCTCTCTTTCTCCGAGCTTAACCCTTTAGTGGCAGTCTCGCGAACAACAACGCGAGCCAGCACACAGCGGCATGCTACAGGCACTACTACTTATCTGCGCTCCCGGATATAATCTTCACGCTTATATCAATTGGATAAGGGCTGGGCTTAGACAAAGGAGAAGAATGGGTGAAGTTCACAGAACTGGGCTACAATGAGGTGAGGTTTTCTCTGTTCCAAACATCTGGACCAAATGTGGGTCAAGGGTGTACTTGATGTTCCTTGTGTTCTTAAGTGTTACTAGCTGCATTCATTTCCATTTTATTCATTGTTAAATTCACATCTATTAATGTGTATGTAGGAACAGAATAGAGGCTTTTTGTAGCGCTGCTGGATCCTACAGTTGGATTCACGCGGTTGCCTTGGATGACTGAGGATAAGATTAAATATGCATGAAGACGATTTGTCAGACAGTGCAACAAAGGACGCATGCTGGGGAATATACCTCACCCAAGACTGTGTAAGCTTTAGGAAAGAATGTTGCATTCTTTGGGCCAGACCAATATGATCAAATAATGTGCTATGCCCTTTATATGAACCTGGGCTGTTGGGACTCCTCTGACTGCTGTAGCCTATAGCAGGGGTCCACATGTGAGCAGGTGAACTGTTGCCATGTGATGGTCAAGTGTGGGGCTCTAGTCTGTTTGTCTGTACAGGTCATGTAAAGACTTGCAATGCAGGTGACCTATGGAACTCTCCTCAAGATCATTTTAAGATATAAAAGAAACCGTCAAAACTGTTTAACAATAGAATGAATAATATTTACATATAATAGGATCCATTGTTGATGAGCCTATAGATTCATAGCAAGCAGAACAAATATATATATAATTATATTATCTTATAATAAACTGTATAATAACCTAGGGGAAAAAAATACATTTTTGATATAAGATACTGAAAGGGTCTTTGTTATTGTCCCTATTAGGTGGATCCGCCAAATAATATCAAATAACCATACTTACAAAATGTTGGTAAAAAATAATCAGTCATGTGTAATACTATAAACAAATGTTATAACTTGCATAAGATGTGAATGAAATAATTAAATTGGATTGAAGAGCGGATTATGCAATAGATGGAAACCCGTTGTCGACAGCAATGCTGTGGCGCAGCGTGCTTTGAAGAGGTGTGTGCCAATTGGTTGGCGTGCACAGTGGGTCTCTATGCCAGCTATAAATGTAGGTCACATTAGTCTAGTGGGAGGGGGAGCCGCCCCTGGCCACAAACACCCAATGCAAACCCTACAAAAATAAATCCTCACCCACCATAACAAAGAGAGGAGATGTGAGCCTAAAATGACTTCCAACTGCTGCTGTAAATCAGGATTAGATTGTGTTCATGGAGTACTTCTACATCAGCCGTAGACAGTGGATGTAATTGGGAAGATAATACACAGAAAGTATTTGTGGGCACATGTGTGATGATAAAAGATGAGGGCCATGCTTTGTTAAGGTGCTGTGGTCGGTGAAGGCAGAGAGGCAAATTACAGTGGCGTTTAGTAGGCCAAGGGAACACATGTGACTAGTGCAACACATGGCCTGAGTCAGTGCTCTGTGAGGGAGGCCGATTTGGACATGCGCTCTTCATGGAAGAGGTCACACTGGACTCCGCCTTATTGGCATGTTGCCTTTTGCTTTAGGATTTTCCTGGGAAGATAAAAAGTTACCCCCAGACTTGGAATTCAGGCAGCCCCACCCTAAGAGCTGACCCCCCAACCCTGCCCCACGTGCCTCACATCGCATTCTTCCCAAGGGGAGGAGGGAGAACTTCTTTTCTCTGAAGTGGTGCCCCCGTCTTGATTTTATTTTAGCCCTGCTCCCATTTCCTGAACCACTGTGCAGCAACACGTGTGTGGTTGAACTGGCTGAGCTGTGTCCAAAGCCTACTGCCACATTTAGACTTGTGGTGCGGTGCCTGTGGTAGTGTGAGCGAGTGCAACTTGGATTCTTTTACTGTGCTATCATTCCAGTAGTGCCACAGTGGGCCAGTGATGACATGTGAAGAATATATGACAAATACAGGGCGCAATCTAGGTCAAGCTATGAAAATAAGATGGATCCTGTATTAGCAGACACACAGTCAGGCTCACTGTGTGTTATACAATTATTATAAATTATTAATATATGTGATATCATTCAGAGTCAAAAGTTAAATTCCCTTGCGCAGGACCGATCAAGCTGAAGACCAACAGTTTAAGCAGCTTTTAACACGAATTTTAGATTTGGAATGTAACATTATGTCACTTAAAACTGAGTCATCTTGTGCAATGATTCTTTCCTGATGTAACAGGCCCGCAGAGGAGTGTCAAAATTGCTCACTCATTCATGTGAACTTCATATATTAACAGTAGAGAAATGGTTGTTTGACGTCAGAGGCTTTGCATGAGTTTGGCCTGAATATATGACACGATTGGTCACCCTTTCTGTTTTTCTTCTTTTGTTACTATGGGTGACACGTTCTTTCTACTGGAGCAATACCAACATTGTCACAACTGGTGTCATCCCCACCCTCTCCACTCCATATCCCCCTGTCCCCAGCAATAACCACATTTCCTCCTCTTTGTTTTCCTTCCATTTCCATTGTCTATGCTTCACTAGTCTAGCCTGGACCTCTTGCTATATTTAGACATGCCTCACTTGTCCATGTAACCCTCTTTTTGTCCTTTTGTGTCACTTTCCCCAATCTCTGCCCTGACCTATAATCAGCAATGCGCTGTACAGTGAAGGCAGCACCCACACGTGATTACTATGTTGGGCCGGGCCGTTTCTGGGTCAGTGGGACACAGGAAGAAAAAAAAAAGTCTATACCCTCATTCTTCTATGTTCCCGTGCTCAACTAGAACCTGTAAATGCCTCATGGGATCTATGTTTAACTCTGAAGGATGTCCTTAGATTTGTTAGTTTAGTCTTCAGTTTTATGTTGTAGCTTTTCCTGATTTTGGGCAAAATGTGTTTGTAATGGGTGCTTGCATCTGTAGTTACATAATGGGGTTGGATACAGATTAAACATAGAAAAATCTGTTGTATGAAGATTAGAAATTATAGACAGATTACAGATAATAAAATGTATTTTAGTTTGACAAAGCTGCAGCATGCTCCCATAGCTTTTAATCCACTTTATCAAAATATATAACCCACACAATCACATTTTCTGACCATTGTTAAATTGATTAATTTTTTTTTTTTCACATGGCAATTTTAACATGTTTGCATTTATGAGCTGCTGGAAAAGAGACTATTGTGTTTTGCCCATAGGTAAAAAGCTAATCATGTTGTTCCAACCCAAGCCCCACCCCCTTCCTCTGTGTGAGCCCCATGACCTATATTTACCAATGCTTAAAGCTCCACCTTCCAGCTGCTGTGACTCTTCAACACCTTTTTTTTCTATTCTAGACATAGATTTTTTATCCTTGATCAGCCCTGGCTGCTATCGCTGATGCCTTTGTCTGCCTTATCTGCTCACTCTGCATCATCGATTTGGCATTGACTTGTTTTGGCCGAGAATGCTGCTACATTCCTCTGGGGATGAAAGGGTGGGAGAAGAACGTCTGGATTTTAGCTGTGGGTTGTCTTACGAGTCTTAGGAGGACACAAATCAGTAAAACTCATTTTGGTTTGTTCAGATAGAGAAATTGATGTGGGAAAGAATTTGGTTGCCTACTTTGAATGAACCCATTGCACATTGCATCACAGAAGTCAACATCAACACGCCAGGTCAAAGTTCAGGGGTCATAAGCTGCAGACAGAGCACATCAATGGTGGGGTCATGAGGTCAGACTAGAGCGTCTAGAGCCCATTCATTGGTTGCCAAGGGTGAGGCAAAAAGTCAAAGCCAAAAATGTCCGAGCAGCAAAGGAAGACTGCAACTCTGACTAATAACTCTGCATTAGGGCAGTTCTGGTTAGCCTTGAATTTAAAGCATGGATTAACATATCTTTTTATGTTTTTGTCTCCACAGCCTTTCATCTGGACTACAGAGAGAGGAGAGAGCCACGTGGTCCCAGGGAGACTGACGTGCAGAGGTAGACGGCTGACCCACATCCTGCTGTTTCTGGCAAGACCCAGGACACCATCAGCTTGGCTCTGTGTGCTTCTCTGAAGTTCAATGTTTGACAACTAGCAACTCACAAGATAAAGAAGACTACTGCACATAGTCTAGCCTAAACCAAACAGTAAGCGGATAGATGACGGTCACTACTGCTGAAATCCAGCTGTTTCTGATCTTCTTGGCTAACTTGGACACTTAGCTCATTGGACTTTCTGGCATTCATCTGCACCAGCACTGTGACACACACATCTCTAAATAATCCTACATTCAGCCGCCATTCAATCTGGCTACTATTTGGCAAGAATGGAAAATTTAACTAATGCTCTGAAGACATTAAACAAAAGCCCAGGGAATAACATGAGTTGTATGGAAACCTTTTCGGGTTATGATGACTCCCTCTCTCCTTTGCCTGCTGCTCGCATTGGGAGACTTGTCAAACCCAAACCTAATGTCACCTGCAGGCGGAAGAGGGAGTTCATTTCTGATGAGAAGAAGGACGCCTCTTACTGGGAGAAGCGGCGCAAGAACAATGAGGCCGCCAAGCGCTCGCGGGAAAAGAGGCGTCTCAATGACATGGTTCTGGAGAACCGGGTCATGGCTCTTAATGATGAGAACGTGCGACTGAAGACAGAGCTGCTCCAGCTCAAGCTGCGCTTTGGCCTCATCACCACGGCCTCATACATGGAAAAGAGCCAGCAGATCGCAGGCAACAGCGCTAACATGAATGGTAGCACTTCCTCTGCCTCATCCACATCCTCCACTCAGTACTATACCAACGGTTACTCCAGCTCTCAGGTCACAATCAATTCGGACTCCTCTGAAACTGAGCAATCCGTGCGCAATGAGAGCCTTCGGCAGCTGGTCAAATACTCCCCACGTGGTTCTCTGTCCGACATGTCAGATGGTTCGTCCAGAGACAGTCCAGAGCCTATTTCATTTGAGATCAAACAGGAAGGAGACAGACTAGAGATGGACATCGCCAATGGCACTACAACTCAGATCATGTTTAACATTCACCGAGGTCTGTCCTCTGTGCCTACCCACCATCAAATCCAGCAGCACTCTCAGGACCTGGAGACGGCCTATCAAACTCATTTTCCCCAACAGCCACCAGCACCTGTCTCTCCAGTGCACACACTGAACCAGGCAGCCCCCAACCCCCCCGCAGCCCAGCGCAGTGTCATCCTGTACGGCTCCAGCAGCAGCTCTTATGGTGTGGATGTAGCCCGGTCTCAGGAGGGGGAGATGCAGGCAGTCCTGAAGCACAGTAACCAGCTCAGCTCAAACCCTCCCCAGTGCTCCTCAGACACACTGAACGAGGCGACGAAACAGCTGGAACAGAAATCTGCTGGGTCCCCTTCATATGAGCTCCCAGACAGCCACAATGAACCTGGGAATGGACAAATGTACCAGGTGTGCCAACCTCCCCCGAAGCATCCCCAGTCAGACCATCAGGAGAGTGAGTTAACTGCTCAGCTCCTACAGGCCCAGGGCAGCCTTTCTCATCTATACCAGCAGCTTCAGCAGCCTCACCACCCTTACCTCAGTGCGCAAGAGGAGCAGGAGCCCCCTGAGCTGTCCTATGAGGGCAGCCCTGAGGCTGCAGCCTTCTATCATCAAGGCCAGCGCGCCTGCACATCCAGTGATGGAGACCCCCGCAGCTCTGACAAAGAGGCGTCCACTGACGATGAGTCTCCTTCGTCCTACTGCTCCGATCAGCACCGTTCTAGTGTGCATCCTGCCTCGCCTTACCCTTTCCAAGGGGCCTCCCTGTCCCGGGATGCCCCCTGTGAAGTAAAGGGCACTGCACTGCCCCACAAGCTCAGACTGAAACATCGCGCCATGAGTACAGGAAGCAATGGCAGCTCAGGCCAAGAGTCCCCAACAAGTCCCCCCTCTGCCACACCCCCTCCCTTACCCCAGCACCCCTATTTATCACTCTCACCCCAGCCGAACATTAAGCTAGAGTGCCAGGGCTCTGCCCAGACCTGTGCCCTTGATGGGACTCAGAGGGATTCTATGAGAAAAGAGGCAGGTGGACGACGACACAAGAGGCGGGACTAAACCTAAGCACTTGGACCTTGACCCTTTGCCACCATGCCTTCCCCATGATTTAAACTCTGGCCATTTAGACAAAGATGAGTCGTAACTGGCCCCTAATGTCACTGAAAGGCTGCACTTGTAGGGTTGTATATTTGTATATATTGTACAGATGTGTCATTTTTTTCATATTTCCCATTCTAACAAAAGCACTTTTGTTTGTGACGAGAAGAGGAATGGAACTGCCCACTTTTCTATTTGTCATCAAATATTATTGTATGCCAGTAAGGGCAGATTTTCGATCACTTACAGTTAAGAATGTAGGGTAATGGAAGCTTTGAGCGATACCAATTTGAGACATATCTAACAAAAACATTGTACGCCTTAATGAGAGTCAAATGCAAATACATGACCAAAGAAACACAGCACGAACACTACACAGGTTCCATCCCTCTTCCCAGACGCTACCTCTGCCAGCCCTTAGTCACCCACCATCTCCATATCAGAGAAGATCACCATCATCTTTATTTTTAAGCACTTGGGTTTTGTACTTTCTGAAATGTATGGATATATGTTAGAAATATATATTTTACAAATAAATTTGAATACAAATTCAGCAAAAATATGTCTGTATTGGTAAGATTTTGAAAAGGGTCATCTATTATGGATCCAATCACTGTACAGCTATAGTGTGTACTTTGGGCCCTTTATATGATTGTTAAGCTTTAGCATTAATCACTTGTTGATGCCCTGTTTACACAGAATCTGCTGTCCTGTTGGGACTGGCACAGCACTGAATGGAAAACATGGTGTTTTTGAGGCAAAGACCTCATTAAAATGTTTGACTTTTCTTGACCTTTAACCAGCCTTTAACTATTTGGTGGAATCACCAGCTGCAGGCTTCAAGCCTCCTCCTTATTTGAGCTTTATCACACCTTGATTTGGTTTCATTCACTTGCCCATTGTATTTATTTCCTTCTGTACATGCCCATCACTGTAGAAAAGCCCACAGGGACATAGACCCCAATATGTCAGAGCTTTGGAAACCACCTGGACTCACACTACAATGCACTGATGCATGTTTACTGATCAGATAAACTCATAAACTCTCTATTGCCAATAGAAAAACCCTAATGTGAGCTTAGACTTGAAAAAGGAACCATGTCTCATTTATTAGTAATGGGAAGGTATGTTAGCTGTGATTGGACAGCATAAGTCTAGATTACCATGGTTCTCTTTAAAATAAAAAGTACTGCGGACATGAAGACATTATGCAGTAACATTTCCCCTTGACAATCTCCAGAGTCTATTGACACAGACAGGGATCCCCTCCTTGTAGACTCCTATTATAAGTGTACACCTGGCAGTATATATTAAGTCCTGCACTGGAATGGAAGGTCTATGTACCATGTTCGGCTTTTTGTGTATAAATGTAAAGCCCCCTGCCCTGGAGCAACACTGTAATGTTTTTGGTTGATTTTCTACATTTTCAAAGTGTTGTTCTTCTTCTACTGTGTCTTTTGACTGTGCTGTATTTGCCTCATTCCCCTCCCCGTTCCAAGTGTGTATTAATGATTTGTTTGTGGTTTTGCCGATGTATTATGGGAACAGCCAGTGGAGTATAAAACCGGCAAACTTGGTGTTAAGCGGTGGTGGTGGTCCAGGTCATTGCCATCACTTCTTTCTTTAACATGTATGTAAACACTAAAGTTCATTGTGGAAGATGGGAGCATTTCAAAATTGAAAATACAAATAAAAAGAATGTTGAACATATCTTGATAAAAGACTTGTCTTGCTGTTTATTTAATACTGTCCTGTATAAAAAAAATACATCTTACACTACACTATTTACTACAGTAGACATTGATAAGTGTAAAAATAAGAAACCAGTACAATATATAATGTAATTTTTAGAAATATTTCACACAAAATTGAGTAATGTCATAGTTTATATTCGATTAGGTCAAATCAAACACTATAAATTACTTTTAATTACAGACATGTTATTGAGTAGCAAACACAGGGAGAGCCAAAAACGTTCCAGATTGGATGACCTCATTCATTAAATCAGGGTGATATAACAAAAAGATGACTCATTATTTATTTTCCTCAATCAATCAATCAATCAAAAAATGCCTATTTGGTTTCATGTAGTCATATTAGAAACACATAAAATGTCTTTCAATATTAATTTCCTAAGCACAAACAATACAGCTTTTTAACCAAAGCCAAACCACACACACTTTGACTGACAGAGAATTGGCTGTGGACTTCTCACTTAAAGAGATGAATGATTTACAATTAGAGATGTCTGAATCACAGTATTGATTCAAATTTGGCCCTAACATTCATTCATATATCAATGTCATTTTCACTATGGCTACTCAATAACCAAATATAAAGCCTCTGATCTCTGTTCATTGTCGATACATGACGAAATCAGCTACCACAGTTATGTTTCAATACAAAAAACATTGTGTCCATACCTGTTATGTCAAGAAATAACATGTACCATTATGCAAACGACACAGTAAAGTATAAAACTAAGATAAAATAGATTGACTATCATACACACTAAGTAAAATAAGAAAAACCAGATTGCCCAATGAAGGTGCTTGGGTCAAGATAAAATGCTTCAAATGGGTTCACGTGAACTTGTAAGAGCATAACAAGAGGTACTGGGTCAGTCTTAATTACCCATTGTCCCTGGCCTTTACAGCAGAACCAGGTTAGACTCATAACACCTCACTAAAGGCCAAATGGAACCGAACTTCTCTGACACGAGATGTGATAATTATGAGGTCAAAGATGTGGGCAGTGCCATCTATCATATTAGGCCTGTTCATGATGTCTGTAAATTGCAGGTATCTGTTTAAAAATACTAACGATGTTGCCATGGTGATGCTCAAAAACTCACCTAAAAGCCCTTTAATTATTTCGGTTTGAGCCTGGCACAATTAAGGTAGCAGAATTCACTGCATTAAGGTAATTATTGTCTTTTATGTACGGAGAAATCAGTCTGAAATGATTAAAAGTCGCTGTCTCCTTATCTCCATAGAGAAGATCTTGATGCTGTACCTGCAATGTTGCATAGTACGGCATTAAGCTTGTCTATCTCCATGGAGACAAGCAGGCAGACAAGGAAGCAGACACTCTAACAGAAAACTTGAATAGTACACTTTAAAAGGGACCACATGACGCTATTTTCTGATCTCTATTATAATGGTGTTTCCTCATTAAAAACATACCTGAAGTTGTGTTTTGTTTCATTCACACATTAACACACAACAAACAGTCTGAGTTCTTCTCTCAAACTGTAAAAATTTTGTTCCATCTTGTGAAGTCATGTGGTAATACAAGAAGGTGCTCCACTGTGTTTTTAAACTCCATTCACTAGAATGACTTGGATGATTTCAGAGCTGGAATTTCTAATCTGTACTGAACAAAAGGTAAAAGGAGCTGTTAACTTGAAAACTATTGTTTCATGACATCACAAGGTGTAACAGAGTATTTTGAGCTTTAGAAATGTAAACTGTTAGACTGATTCATCAAGTGGTTTCAGTTCTTGGAAACTGTCTGACCTCACAGCATTAGAATTCATTCACTCGACGGGAGGCTTTTTTATTTAACCAATTGCTGCTATTTGGTTGTGGCGTATGTAATGCGCTGCTAACGGGGCTAACAGGTATATTAAGCTTTTCCCAAATCCCATAGGAAGAAGGACAATTATGTCTTTCCCCTTGAGAAAATTTACCAAACATTCTCTTTGTTCAGGCTTTAAATCCTCCATCTCAGGAATTGTTGCCAACACAGAATGTACGGCACTTTGCTGATTGGCTGGTACCCGGCACTTTTTCGCAAGCCGTCTAGTGTATTCCGATTCCTGACCTAGTCACGGGAGAGAAATTAAATTGAGGGGAGGCACTAGGTGGCACCAGCCTAGACAGTAGGGATGTAATGATATCCTAATCTCACAGTACGATATTTTCACGATATTCCTCTCACAGTACGGTATTTACCGTGATATTTTGTGGAGGCTAACAAAATTATGAATATGCTACTTTTTCCTCTTAAAATGTCTTGATAAGACTTAACCCAAAGAACTAAGATTTAAAAGTGCTTTGAACTGCTATTTCTTCATGTAGTTTGCACAAAAATGGAGCAAAGGATCATGGTCAATGTAGTTCCCTTTGTTTTTTTTTAAGCTATTGCTGCACCATAACAATGAATTTAAGCAAAGAAAGTTGTGATTCGAGATATTGTGATGGCCCATGATATTACTGAGAGACTTTTGACGATACGATATCACGATATTTTGGTTATTGTTACTCCCCTAGTAGACAGTCTAATAATAAAAGCTTAGTCAAACATGTGCGAATGAAACAAAACACAACGTTGTTTTTGATGAGGTAACACCATTTTAACGTGGCTAAAAGCTCAAGTCAATTTTTTGTAATATCGGACCTTTAACACAGAAAATAGACCGCATTTGCCTACATTCTGTCAAATACATATAAGCTGTTACTTAGTTCATAACAGTAACAAAACATGTCCATTCTTCATATACTGTAGACCTTTTGCAATGACACTTTAAGGCTTTTGCACTTACATTCACTGCACATATGCTTTTGTATGGTACCATTGGTAAAACTGGTTCAAGGTGACTTTGTCTGTATAGTAACAACATTGTGCTGCATCTTCACTTTCTCTGATTTCGAGCGGGGCCGTGCGCATAAGCAGGTTAGAGGAAAAGTAGGTCAGTGTGCAAGACAGGAGCAAGGGAGGAGGAACAGGAGAGAGAGAGAGAGTGATCAATGAGACCCATCTACGTCAATCACCGGTGTGTGCGGCACAGTCTGGCGTGGAGCGAAGCACTGCTGATAATGGATGATATTGGAACATGCTGTTATGTTGCCATATAGACTGAGAGGCTGAAGGGCACTAGTAATATTTTGGAAACAGAAACTACTTCTTTCAATTGTTTTGGTAAATATATAAACAAAAACAGACACCTAAAACGTTTGTGTTTGTTGATACTCTTTTCCATATTGCACTTCAAAACGATCTCACATTACAACTGTTACAATTTCTATTGCTGCTATCTTCTCCATTACAGCTATAAAAGGTTATTAAATGTTAACTAAAATTTACTCACGTGAGCTTTTACCCATGTTAACTTCTTAAAAACATACCTGGAGTAGTGTTTTGTTTCATTTACACTTGTTTGCTAGTTTACTTGTTTACTTTATTACTAGTCTGTCTACATCTCCAAAGGTCAAAATACTCTGTTCCAACTTGTGATGTCGTGAAGTGGTAGTTTTTAAGTTAACAGCTACATTTAAAATTTTTATTCAGCAGACCAGTAGTCCCCAACCTTTTTTGCGCAACTGACTGGTTTTATATCCAGCAATATTTCACGAACCGGGTTGGGGGGTGCGCGGTGGTTAAGTCCTGGCTAAATCCTGTTTTACTCCTGTTTTAAACCTGTTTTAGACCCTGTTTTAGTCCTGTTTTTAGACCTGTTTTTAGACCTGGTTTAGACCTGGTTTAGACCTGGTTTAGACCTGGTTTAGTTGTGGTTTATAGGTGCTGCACATACGACATATGGGAGGAGGGGACGGACTGTAGAACACTGAAATCTTCCAAATGATTCTAGTGAAGATGTATGGAGTTTAAAAACGCAGTGGAGCACTTTCTGTATTACCACACGACATCACAAAATGGAACACAGTGTTTTCTGAGAAGTTTAAATATGCAGTAGGGGGTAAAGGTTTCAAAGGTAGTCATCCAGACAATGTTTTGAAATGGAGACGTTTCGACAGCCACCCGGAAACAATTTTCATTCTGAAGATACTTGTCTGAAGCTACGATTTAAACTGCCCTGAGCTACATTATTCCTGTCCCAAGGGAGGAGTTACAGCCTGAAACTATTGACGACCACATCCGAAACCTTTTGTATCATGGACCACTCCTGGAAGAATGAGGATTTTTTGGGTTTTAGTTTGCAAGTTCTGTTTTGTTTTAGGCCACACCTACAGGCTGGTCCTGACTAAGATCTGGAGACAGGTTTTGCTCCGTCATAGTCAAGTGCTACTTATCCTAGCACAAGGTCAAAGAAGTTTGGAAAAAATGGCTACTAATCTAACCTAAAATGGCTGTACTTGTTGTCATTTAACTAAGGAAAGTTGTGTACAGTGTATCAGTTAGTAGAAGTGTCCTGTCCCAGTTTGACTCTCCTTCTAGGTTATACACACAGCAAACATTCAGGACCTCAGTGACCTGCAACTGTATCTGTAAATGAAGAGGCCCACATTATATATTTAGCAGGCCTTGTTTTTCCAATAATGGAAAAGTAAACAAGACTATTAACAGTGTTTAGCTCAAATCAGAAGCTACAAATACAGTAATGGAAGCAGACCAATAACATCCATTTTGGTCATAATATTGAGGTTTTAAGGTCATGTGTAACTTATTAATACATTTCCAGTTAAAGGTCCTACATTACGCAAAAGTGACTTTTGTGAGCTTTATGCCACGTTATAATGCTGTACCCAGAAACACCCAGAGTTGTGTTTTGTTTCATTTCATATCGTTTCAGTTCCTTTTTATTAATTAGTCTACATCTTGATAAGGCAGTGTCCTCCAGCAATCTGACCAGAGCCTGGATGAGCTGCGAAACGTATCAAAAACCTTTTGTAAAGTTAACAGAACTGAATTCCTCCTTGTATTATATATCTCCAAAATTCCATTGTAGTTTTCACGCAGCTACCTCT